TTGATTACTAGTCATTACTATGGCATCAGGAATGGGATAGTGAAGTGTGGGCTTTGTTCTTGAAACTGTCCCATCTGCAGGAAATTCTATCCACATTCAGAATTGCTGCAAGAGCAGAATGTGACAGACCAGCTGCTTCATGGGCAGAGATAAGCTAAAAAAGCTTTTTAAATGTGTAAAGGATGGTCTTGCTAAGGGTGGGGAGAGGTTCTTTTAACTTCCTGGAGACAACACCTCTCTTCCCACTCAGAGACCCACAGTCCCTTGCATTTTTGCCCCACAAATGCCAAATCCTGCTGTTCTACTCTGGCTCATGTCAGCAGTACATCATACTGGAGACAGGTAGCATTGCAGAAGTCAGTGGCAGGCTTTAGATCTTAGCTGGCTCTGCTTCACTGTTATTTATTTCTTCTCCCCATGTACTCCCTAATGTAATCATCCCCCTTCTGGAAAGGTTGAATGAAGAGGATAAAAGTAACGAGTCACAGCAGGAAAAGTTGCTGTCTGGAGATGAAGAGACAAAAGGAATTTTTTGCTGCAGCTTCCAACAGAGGCAAGAGGTTTAGAGGGATCTCATTTTTCAGCTGGCTTCAATCTCTGCCACAAGAGTCCAAGACTGTAGGGTGAAATGTGGGTTTTTGCCTCTGTTTTTGGAAGGTGTCAAGTAACCAAGTTGGCATGGAGTGTGGAGCACAAGGTACACAAGAACAATGAGAACTTTTGTTGGCTTTGGGACCATTAGGGTTGTTTGTGAATCCTCACTGGAAAAGCTTTCTTACTAGTGAAGCAAGAAGGCATTTGGGAGCAGAAGCATGAAGTAACCTCTCTGTGTTTGTATTACATGAGCCAGAACAATTTAGCTTCTCATGCTAGATGTAACAGAAGTGACATTCATAAAGGAACCTGGAAAACTCAACTGATTTTCTGGATTGTTATGTGTCAGTTCACCATGGAGTGGAAACAAATGCTTGTTGCAAAACTTAAAAATATTTATGGCCAGTACTCAGTGATGGACAGAAAAATGCTGGAGCTGAAGTTCAAGTAGAATCTAAACTATGCCAAGAAGAATGATATCATGGTTTGAGCATGTAGAAACTGATAAATTACTCTTCCAGGTACCACCTCTCTTGCTCTCATAGTCTCAGAGAACAAGGAAACAACACTGTCATTTGCACTGTGCACTTTTTGCTGTCTAAGAGAATCTATAGTAAGTGGAATGGCATCATGTGCATTGCATGTGTTAGCTGTAGTCATTGGACAGCAGGTTTATAATCAGCTGGATTTTTCACTGTATAAATTTGGCCCTAAGGAGAACTGCACTTACAGTTCCTTTTACCAAAAACACAATCATTATCTGAGAGCACATATAACAAAAACCATGTTAGTCACACGTGTCTTTGTAGAACTTAATTTTAAGATTATAAAGTGAGAAAAAAAAAATAGTTTTATGTATTTTCAAGGATCTTGCCAGTTGTCTGTTTCTTTGGTTTTGAAGCCTTGACCTCAGCATCCATTTTAGAATGAGTTTAAAACTATTGTCCAAATGTAGCCTCTCCAAAAGGACTAATTGATGTACTTTTCAAAACCAGCTATAATTGCATGTAAGTCCTGTCACAGAAATTTGGTTTTTGTGGTATTTTTTCTGCTTCTTTTTAAATGGACACTGAATAAAAAAGTTTGCATGTTTAGAGAGAATATTAAACCCCACTTAAGTTCCCAATAATGAAGAGTGTAGGTACTAGGTTATGTAACAAACTCTGCCTATTGTCTGTAGCTGTCCACATACTACACACTCACTGTGCAGCGGATAGAGAAGTGTCTGTGCATTTAAAGATTGATGAAGCCCTGCCAGCCCTTTGGATCAATGTTGTACAAAGGCAGGAGCCTGGAAGGCACATTTTCCAATTTTCCCTCCCGCTGTGACTGAAATATAACACTAAAACCAAATTTCTCTCTATTTTGTGCTTTTTTTTTGGGTAAAGAGGGCTGGGAAAGGATGTTCATTGTTATATGTCAACAGGTCGGTGCTGGCAGGTCCAGGCTACTGCTGTTGGCGTTATGGCAAAGTCCTCCATTGTATCACGCTGGAGCTTGATTCCTGGCACGAAAGGGATGTTTGAAAGAACATCTTGCTGGGTTAGCAATTGCCAGAACTTTTTATAGTAATATGTCCAAAATGCTGCTTGTATAGAAATAGTCACTTTTGTAAGAAAAGAAAAAAATTCACAAAAAAAGGGTCACATCCTCCACCCCCTCCATTTGATGCCATTACATAAGGTTTAATTTAAGCTACCTCTCAATGTGAAATTCAAACATTAGGTAAGTTTAATAAGGTTTTCTCACGGTCATGTTATGTAAAAGTTATAGTGAATGCCAAAATTGCAAAAGTTTATCACCAAAAAAGGAAAAGAGTTGGTTTTTTTTTATGTGTATTTAAAATAATCCAACAGTTTCAAATTATTGTGAATTATCTTAAATTCTTTTAACTTCTGTAGTTTCAACCTTGCAAACTCTAGCTGCTGGACAGGAAATAAATGATAACCACAAGCTTTCATAATTAAGGTCTGCTGGGTAAAACCAGTTTTGTACGGCGCTTTGTCCTTTGCTTACAGATAGCCTCAATCACCATATGTACCATTGACTTGGTTGTGTTTTTTTTCTTCAGTACTCGAGATGTGAACTTGATGAATGGTGTTCTGTAATGGATGCGTGCCACAAATTACATGGTCTCATTTGCCTCTTTTCTGACTTTTAATGATCAGTTTATTATTGCAGATGTGAATATTGTTCATACAGCTTAATTTCTGTATAATTGTATAAAATATAAATGGAAAAAATATAAGTTTTTACTTGGTATTTAGAAGTAATGTATTATAAAAGACTTATGTTGCAGTTTTACTTACAGAGTACTGTACTTTAAACTGGATCATACCATCTTGGTAGGTGTAGATAGATTTTTTGCATGAGTCTGTTTTGGTTTTATTTCTTTTTAATTGAAGTTTTATTCCCTTAAGTTCTGCTTTCAGTGTTTGTGTTTACTACTTGTGATCATGTAGTTGTGCCTTACATTGTGAAAGAATTTAGTCCAGTGTGCACTGTAATTCTTAAACTCTGTGATCTGGAAGGTGGCTGTGGATTTGAATGGGAAGGTGACACCATGCATCAACGGGTTCTGTATAAACTATGATGAATTGTTGCTGAAATGTCATTTTTGTTTTCTAATATGTTAAAGGAATGACTATTAATAATAATAAAAAATTAGACCTTTCTAATAGACCAGGTTATATCATTCAAAACTACCTTGCCCTGTTTCAGACAGCAAAGCTACTTTGAAATGGTGGATATATAGTTTTACAAATGTAGATTAACTGTTCTTACACACATGTAAGAACAAGCTAAATGTTCCAGTTTCTTAGAGTTGTAGGGAGCTGCAACAAAGGCTTTCACATTCCTGAGGACACAGTAATAATGACTGTTTTTCAAATCTGTTCTTTTCACAGGTTAAATTCTGAGTAGTTTCATTCCCCATAGTTGTGCAAGGCTGCCGAGTATCCCACATTTGGTGACAGTCCTTCTGTCACTGGCTGTGTTCTGACATCAGAGTCAATGCAGCTGGACAAGTGGCATAACTGGAAGACTCAAAAAGTAGCACTTGTTTCATTTTTAGACCAATAAAGGTCTCAGTGGTGAAATGGAAAGCTCTTTCAGGGTAGAACTGTGTTGCAGAGAGACGCCAGATGGTTAATGTGGGAGATCAGTCCTATGACAAAGCAACTATTGAATTATGGAGGCACAACCAAACAACCCATGTTTAGCTATTGAAGCAGGGGCTCTGTGTAGATATGGAGAAAGATGGAGAAGAGAGGTCTCCTCTGGAAGGCAGTTTGAACTGGGAAGTCAATTTCTGCCTCAGCGATTCCTGAGGTATCGTTCTCTTGACACCACAGAAGAGCCTATTGAGCTTGCATCTCTGAAGACAAGCCTGTGTGTAAATACTTCCTTCCCCTGGGCTGTCCTCCTTGGAGACATGCTGGCCAGGAATGACTACTTGTCTGGTAAAGTGAGTAGACCTGGCTAAAGGTTGTTTTGTGGAAAAGTATGCAAAGTGAAATACCCTTTCCCTTCTGCCAGCACACAGAGCACACACCTTAGTCTGTCAGGTGTGACTGCTGTGGGCTGAAATATCTTTGTGCTGCCAGCAGTGGTTTCAGGATGCTGGGAGGTTCTGGTGAGCCCTCGGTGTGATGCAGTGTGCAGCTGAGCATGGGATTGAGGAGATGGAGCACAGCTGTGTCAGCCAAGTTGTGGCAAGGCCTTGGCAGCTTGTGCGGTGCCCTGGTGCAGATCTGTCTGCACTCTGTTCTGCCCTCCTGCTTCACACATTCACCACTTGGCATGGAGCCTGATGGCTGTTCCTTTCCCAGGAAGGAAAAAACTTGCCCATGATAGACACAGGGGAAGAGCAGGAATTTGTGTATCACAGTGGCCAGGCTGTATCTGAAGAGCACTGGACCAGGTAAGTGCATATATACACACGCTCAGTATTAATGCAAAAAACATCTTGGGATATTATAGGTTACTGGGTAGAGACACATACATATCAGAAGCTATGGCTACACAATTCTAATTTAATGAAATTTATTAATACAGTTTGAATGATGCAATAACCCTTCTGAACTTCTCTGGTGAATGAGTTGTCCTTACCAGCATAGGGGTTTTGCCCGTCATGCTTTCTAGGAAATGACAAGCTCTATTAAAGCTTCCTTGGGTGGCAAGAACCTTCCCTAGGTGAAGCAAAGGAGTATCTAGGAGCACTACATTTGTTGCATGGCTCATTCCCCTCCTCCAATTTATTCCTACATGGAATATGTCTATGCGCCATATTTTTGTCAAGTCAGAAATCTGTTAGCTTCAGAGACCTAAGGCATTATATTTATATTATAAAATAACTATATTATCACCACAATAGTCTTCCAGTGGCTCTGGCAGTGCAATTATTATTAAATTTCAGAGGATTCCACAGAGAAGCAGAAAGCAGTGCTTTTCTTGGTTTCATGTTGTGTGGTGTAATTGGAGATTGCTGTTTCTATCTGTGACATCCATGCTTTCTGTAACAAGAAAAAATTTGTAAACCAAGACAACCTAAAAAAATTTTCAGTAAGTTAGATGCATAAACATCCAGAGCCTTTCATTTTATTTAGCCTCTTTTCAGGCTTGTGCTTGTAATTGCTGAAGGAAACATAAATTATCTCACAACTGAGATTTTCCCAGTTGTTCAGGCCATTACATGCTGCTGGAATCTCTGTCTGGGGCCAGGGATTTCCAGCAGATGTTTCCATTTTTGGTTGGAAGGTAGGATTTTAATGCTCTGTTTGTAATGGTGAAGTTTGTTGCAGGCTATTTCACCCCTTTCTGTGTGATGTTTATTCATTAGCTTAATACTGTCCCTGCAGTTTGGGTTCCTCATTTTTCTGATTAAGACAGCTCCAGTCTTGTTAGCATCACAAGTTCTGTCCCCCTCCAAGATCTGCCATGTGCTGCCAACTGAATTTCAGTTTCTGTTATCATGCTGACAGCGTTCAGGTCTATGTTTGCTGTCATCCAGGTGTGAGGACAGGGAGTGATGGAGAGAGAATTTCAAATATGTAACTTCCTTCTCTCTGCTAGTCCAGATAGTCTGGTGACCGAAGTTGCGTTTGTCTCTGAATTGCTATGATGAGACATTGGAGTAACCCTAAGAGGATTTACCCTTTAAAAGCTTTAAAGGGCCCTTTCAACCCAAACTATTCTGTGATTTTATGACATTGAGAAGATGGTAGCCCTGGTATGAAGGCAGTTTTGGAAAAGGAAGGTCATATTTCAGTAACAGGAGAAACTAATGACTTCTTGAGTGGATAGCTATTCCAAGTATCAGCCAGTGACTTGAAAATGGAAAGAATTCACTCAGTGTTTCTCTTAGAACAAGTCTGCCACCATTTACTTGTAAGAATTAATATTAGTGGTGGTCAAATTTCCGTGCATTAGGTATTAGAGAGGAAAATTCAACTTACATGAGAAAGCAAAATACTGTGAAGTGCCTGACACACTTTTAGATGTTATACACAGTGCTGTTACTAGAAATGTGACATGGTGTGAAAATGGGGGGTAAATTTATATAACAGTGGAATTAATCATGCCATCTGTTCAGTCTGAAAATGCAAAATGTATGTTGTGAATAGATGAGCATGAGAGTTTTCTGATCTGAGTACTACTGCATGTGAGTTGGGTGTAGTGGGGGCTGTTATTGACTTTTCTGGAGGGGCTGACCATCTTCTGTGACACAAGAAATGGATATTTTTTTTTAGCAATCAGAATTGATAATGTTTTTCAACAAGAATATGACCTGCTACAAGCCTGATAGAAAACTGGCAACATGTTCAGCAGTGAAAATTCTCTAACAAATATGTGAGCCAGAGCACTGGGGTGTTGTTTTGTTTTGTTTTAGTTTTGGTCAAGTGTCACAACTGTAAGAGATTCTTATCACAGCATGACCACTTCTAGGCTGCCAGCCTCCTTTAGGAAAAGCATAGTTGTGTAATTAGAGAAGAAAAAAAATGTGTGTTACCTACCTTGGCAGTCTCTGTCTGAGCTTGTAGCAAGAAGACTGCTATGCACTGCCGATACCTGTTCTCATGCTGAATTAGAAAAGCATTTCGCAGGCTGAAGACTGTGGAAAATGTAAAGAAGTGATATAAATGCACCTCATACAACTGTCAGTCCAATTCTATATCACATTGATTATGATCAAATAAATTATATATGTAAGCATCTTTTCTGATTTCCAAAAGGGAAATTGCACCCTCATAGGGTGAGTTAATTTTGTTGCGTAGGAAGCTTTCTTATTTCAAAACTTTAATTCTACTTGCATTTGTTTTCTTTTAATTGCTTCATCATGGTGCAGCTAAGGTGCTTTTGAGACTACCTGAGGGTAATTAGGAAATATTTCCCTTCAAAGTGGCCTAAATCATAACTGAAGTTAAAGAAAAACAAATATCAAAAATTAAAAAGAGAGGTCCCATTTTATTTCAGTAAGTCTCCATGGTGGCTGGCACATAGGGAAGTGGCTGCACTCAGGCTAGTGCTGGCTTTGGGTTCTCCCTGGGCATGTGCCTGAGCTGGTGCTCCTGGGAATGCTCTGATTAGCTGTCAGCAGCCAGGCATGTTGCCTCTGTTTCCTGCCAGACTTTTGTTCCTGAAGGTGACTGTGAGCATCGTGTAGTGCCTTTCTCTGCAAGGGGACAAAGTGCCACCAATGTCACACCTCTGGAATAAAGGTTTTCTAATCAGAAAGTAGGTAGCTGCTTACAACCTTCAGAGCTGGGTTCCTATTATTATATTTACCTGTAAAGTTATATCTCTTGTCATGGTGTTTGCAGGTAGTTCTGCTTTTAGGGTACCTTCCTGGTGTTATGAACACACCGTTTTATCTTCTATCCCTTCACTAATGCATAGAAAGCTTTGGACAAGAATTATCCTACATAATTATCAGCCTCCTGTCTGCTGCCAAAAGGGTATTTCTAGAATATTGCAACATATTTTTTTTTTCTAGTACTTGCATTGAGCTATGTTTATTTTCAAAGAGATGTCAACCTTCAGCAAACTAACAGAAGCAGAAGTACTTGCTAGATCAAAAATCAGGATTTCATTTTTGATTAATGTGATGGATCATATGACCTTTCTGAGAAAATGCTAACTAATCTTTTAGTGCCACCAGTAATAAAAGTCTCTTTGAGATTTCTGATATATTGGCAACATTCCCCAAGGTCACACATTCCAGACAATATTAAATATTTTTCTTTCTCTTGCAATGGGACATTTTCTGTTGACATTGGAATGTTTGCCTGTTGTTTTACACAGAATGGTGGGAATCTGAACTGCAATCTCCCTATAGTAATTTTTCTCACTGTTTTTATTGCACCTCACCCCAAGGGGTCCTGTGTTAGGATGGGGCTTCCAAGGTGTTACCAGACTACAAGTGAGCAACAGAGACTGCCATGGCTACAGTTGTAATAAAGCTGGTAAGAATATATGGGAGAGAAGTCAAGCAGTGAGGCCCAGGGTGCAGGGAAGGGTCATAGCCAGTGGACAGAGCCTAGGCTGCAATGCAAAAGGCAGTGTTCTCTATTCTGATGATTGCAGCTGGATCACAGAGATAGAAAGACTCTGGTTAGGAATCTATGGGAAATGCTGGCTTGGAAAGAAAAAATCCAAAAATATTATTTCCATCTCCATTATGGTTTTTATAGCCAATCTGTTAGGTGCAAACTGGAGGGTGGTTGCGTTACCTTCTCCAGCATCCGGGAGCTGTTGGCCTTGCATTCAACCTGGGCTTGCATGGGATGTGAGGCTGCCCTCCCCTCCATACTGCAGGCAAGAAGGGGCTGATACATTTGCTCCATTTCTGCTGGTTTGGTGGGGGAACTAATTAGGCAGGCAGACCATGCCTGGAACATGTTTTCAAAAAGGTTATTATTCTTTGTGTTATTCCCTTTATCTTGTCTTTAGTAGTTTGCCTTTTATTGCCTACCTTTATATCCTCTTGGCATTGATGCTGAATGCTAAATAGTCTGGGTGAATGCATTTCAAAGTTATCGTAAATATGACAGACTCTAGGCTTATTTTCCTTATCTATTGCTTTCTCACAGAGCACTGTAGCTCCCTAAGCTTTTACTCTCAGTCTTTAGGATTAGGATGACCCTGGAGCCTAGAGATTTGTATTTCTTTCATTCTCTTTGATATAGGAGGCTCCTGTGATCTTGGCAGTGTTAGACTGAATCAATGAATCCTTAAGGTTGGAAAAGTCCTCCAGAATCATTGGAGGTCCAACCTTCGACTGAATACCACCATGTCAGCTAGACCACAGCACTAAGTGCCACCTCCAGTCATTTCTTGAACACTTCAGCACAGGGGTTGTGACTCCACCACCTCCCTGGGCAGCCTGTTCCAATCCTTAACAACCCTTTCTATGAAAATAGTCTGGTGTCCAACCTGAACCTCTCCTGGTGCAGCTTAAGGCCATTTCCTTTTGTGCCATGGCTGCTTGCCTGGGAGTAGAGGCTGTCTCCCACCTGGCTGCTGTCTCTTTTCAGTTGGTTATGGGGAGTGATGATGTTACCCCTTTTCTCCAGGCTAAACATCTCCAGATTCTTCAGCCACTCCTTTTAGGACTTACTCTTAAGACCCTTCCTGAGCTTCACTGCTCCTCTCTGGACACACTCTGGATTTTCAATGTCCTTTTTCTAGAGAGTGGCCTGGAACTGGACATGGATTTTGAGGTGTGGTCTCAGCAGTGCAGGTACAGATCTCTTCCCTAGTCCTGTTGGCCTCATTGTTGCTCATACAGGCCACATGCCCTTGGGCTGCTTGGCCACCTGGGCACACACACCAGCTCATGTTCAGCTGGCTATCAACCAGCACCCCCAAGTCCTCCTTCTCTGGGCTCCTTTCCAGCCACTCTTCCTGAAGCTCATAATGCTCATGGTGGTGTTGTGACTGAAGTGCAGCACACAGTACTTCACCTTGTTGGATCTCCTGCAGTTTGCCTCAGCCCATCAATGCAGCCTGTTTAGATCCCTCTGCAGAGCCTTCCTACCTCCCAGTGGATCAACACTCCCACCCAAATTAATGCCATCTATGGCTTAAGGCTTCTCTCTCTCCCCTCATCCAGGTCTTTTATGAAGGTGCTAAACAGGACCAGTACCAACAGCCCTGGGAGACTGGCCACCAACTGGATGTTCACCATTCACCACCAGGGTGAGATGTGTGGGAGCCTGCTGTGTCAGTGGCTCAGACCAGGGGGAGGCCTGATGTTTCATGCCTGCTCCCCACCCAAAATCTGATGTTGGTAACTTCAGGAACCTTTTTGCAGGGTAAGGCTGGTCACTCTCTGTGGCAGTCAGCCCTCCTTCACTCCACACCCAACTGCACAGCAGCAGGGATAGGAGGCGTATTCCCCAGGGATGAATTTGGATGTCTGAGAGCAAGGAAGCATTGATGTCTGCTGGGTGATTTCCATCCTCTCAAGAGCTGGTGGAGATGTGAGTTGGAGCAGTAGCAGGAGGTAAATCTCCTCTCCAGCCTCCTTGAGAATGGCTGCTGTGTATGCTGGAGGATACCCAGGAGAACAATGTAGTGGCACAGCTGAAGAAATGCTGTGTCACTTGTATGGAACTGAAAATGTTCTTGGGGTGAAAGGAAAGATGCCTGGGGTTTGAGAGAGCATATTAGGACAGTTAGGACAAGGGAAGGCTTGTGAGAAGTCATTGGAATCTTGATACCTCCTTTGGGGTGAATGGATAGTATGTGACAGTGACTGGTGTGTGTGAGTCACTGCTGGCAGCGGGGCTGTGGAGGCACAGCTCAGCCTCCCAGCAGGAGCAGAGCTGGGAAGCCAGGCAGGGCTGAGGCAGCAGTGTTTGCACTCCAGGCGTCTGGGGGTGGTTTGTGGGCAAACAGCAGCTTGTCCTCATGCTGCCACACACACAGTGCATTGACATGGCGTTTATGTGCATGCAGGCACATACCTGTAACTTGGACGGGTTCAACATTTTTCAGTACGAGTCTGTCTAGTGGGATGGGCTGGTCTAGGACTGTGCAAAATCCCCCCTCTCTTATGAAACACTGCAGCTCAGGAGTGAGGGAAGGACAGACGGGGATTAAGCTGGTGTCTGAGCCTCCATATTTCTGGGAATAGAAAATGAAGTTGGTTAGCAGGTTGTCTGCCATCTGCTCATGAGGTATAGGCACTAAACAACTCTAAATTATGTTTTTCTCTTATCAAAGATACACAGAGAGCTTATTTGCCTGAGGAATCTTAGAAAAACTGACTGGTACCTGGAGATCTCCTGCAAGGTTATACTTTGCATTAAAAAGCTACAAAAGAAACAAAATACAAATCCACAAGCAGAAGGCAGTTATAGGCATTCCAAAAGTATTACCCCCCTTTCCCTCCTTGTTTTAATAGCAGGTTTTTTTTCTCTTTTGCTTGGGGGTAAGTTTCCTTATCTCCCCTCATGCATATGCAGAAGACAGAATTCCTGGAGCTCCAGAGAAGTTGCAGCCTTCACAGAAGGTTCACCAACACATGTCCCTGGGACAGCCCTCGAAGAGATTTGCCTGAGGGTACCAGGTCCATTGAATTTCTGCTTCCTTCACCAACCCAGTTGCTAAGGGATGGTGCTGTGAGTCTAAAACCTCTCACTGCATGCTTTCTCTGTCCCCTCTCTCTCTAAAGCAGAACACTGCTTCTTAAAAAAAAAAAACAAAAAAACAACCCAAAAATAAAATAAAAATACCCAAACCAGTTTACATCAGTTTCATAAACTTAATTAGCTAAATGCACTCCTACACTGAAGCTTTAGGAATTTCAGGTCATCCAGTTCTTCTCTTGGTGTCTAAATACAGATATTTATCATCTATAGAACTCTGTAGCATCATTCAAACGTTTTCTTAAAAAGAGTCATCTCAATTTTAAACTTGGGAAAATCAAGGCAAAGAAAGGACAACAAGCAATATAGCCAATCTTCCATCATTTTAGCCATTCCCTGGCTTTTTTCCTTTTATTTTTTTTCTTCTTTCCAGCAGGTCTGATATCTCTGGGATAAAAAAGTCTCAGGTTGCAGGGACCATTCAAAAAAGTTTTACATTCCTGAAACATTTCTGATCTTTAGGAGTCCAACACATCAGAACAACATCAGGAAGATATTAAGGTCTTGTAATGTAAATTCTGCCAGTAATAGTGCTCCTGTACCATACTGAGCCTGGAAGCAGGCTTTGAATCAGTGTTATGGTTTGCTAGTCACATAAGGAAGTATCAGCTGTTCTTCATGCTGATTAGTCATCCTGTATTTTTATAATTAGATCAATCTTCCAAAGTACATTCAAAAGCCATCCAAAAGTTTAAAAAATGTAACAACTGCAACCATGTATATTTCTTGACATTATTACCTTTTTGTTACGTTTAATTTTGGTAATTAGTAGGAAATCATCAAATAAAAAGAGGTAGACATCAAGGAGTCTTGTGCTTTCTGAGAAGGAAAACAAAAAATCAGTTTTATGGTGTGATTATTTTAAGGAATTGCTACTTCTAAGATGAGGCACATGTATGAATCACTGCACCTAACAGAATTCTTTTAACAAAGAAACCTTGTTTCCAGTATAGTTCCCAACTATTTGTTCTTCAGTCTGCATTCTCAAATGCACTAAGTCATATGTCTCAGTCATTTTAGCTACTAAATTTGTACCTTGTAGCAGCTACCTTGTTGTGATATAATAACTACTTGCTTGCCAGGAAACAGGACAATAAAAAATCATACAGACTATCATCCTAATGGCACCCTGGCTGTACCTCAGTCTCTCTCTGATAAACTATACAGTTGCTTTTTCTTTCCTGCACCTGCCCAAATGCTGTTGCAGAGGTTCGTTCTGGACCTGCCATAACAATGTATAATTCTGCTAAGCTGTCTCTGGACACCAGGAGATCAGGGACTTTACCTGCTAGCATCAGCTTCCCTTCATGAAGGAGAAGTCTGCTCACTGAAGACAAAATGTTTTCACTGCAGTTTTCTTTTAAGTTTTGCTTCAAACACTTGACCCAAAAAAAGAGAGAAAGAGAGAATGGGGGAACCATGCATAATGGATGATGAACAGGGAAGCAACCAGCAGCTAAACAAGATGAGCATTTGTGTGCTCTTACCTCAGGCTAAGTACATCACACAGCTGATAACTGAGCATGCCTGTTTCTTCAGCACTGCTATTGCTTAAATGTGTTTATGCTTTTGAAATGTTAAGCTCGGTTTTACTTTTCCAAATTGAGTTTAATAGTGTTTGCAGCCCGTATATGAACAGACATAATCCTTGAGATGAGACCCACTTGATGATGTTACCATAGTGCTGCTTCAAGTCTGTCTGGGAAACGGGGTAGCTACAGTAAAAATGTGCACACCCAGGTATGCTGTGTGATTTTTTGTAATGCAATTTAAGTGTAAATGGGAAGTTCTTTGGCTCAGCTTGAGAAGTGAAAGAGGCAAATAATTTATACTTTACTGAATGCTGGTAATACTTACATCTATCCCATTTCATTCTGTCCCCTAAAATCCAGTATGGTAGAGTCCTCCTGGACTGTGTAATTGCCCTCTCTTGGGTGTTGAGAGAACCCACGCTGCCATCCAAGGCACTGTGTGTGTTTAGCTGCAGCACTTGCAGTGCCCAGGCTGCAGCTGCTCCTGTTAGAGCAGAGCCAGCCCCAAAACTAGAATACAGACAACTGGCCAACTTTAGACCACACTATGAGACAGATAGACAGGAAACTAAACCCTCTGCTAGAAAAAAAAAGTGCCCTTTAAAATCTGCTTACCTCTGGGACAAAGAACCTTTTGTCACGATCCCAGACCTGAGGCCAAATTATGACCTCTTGCAGCTGCCTGAACTTCTGAAAGTTGTCCAACCACTTGACTTTACCTTCCAGATCCCCTGAAATGTGTGAAACACCAGTTAGTGCCAGGGCTGGCAAAAGCAGTCCTGTTTCTAGAAGATGCTGAATACCAATTTTCTCCAGTGAAAGCTAAAGTACCTCACATGTGAGGCCCCAGATGAAATCTTGATCTCATTGTAAAAAATGCCTAAACTCTACTTAGATCAGTAGGGACAGAATTTCAATTCATGCATTCAAAGATGCTTAAATTCACTGCTAAATGAAAAGGTTGTGTTTACTAATCTGTCTGGGGAACAGGAAATCATATAAAACTCAATTAAACTTCAATCTTAAAAATGTCTTCAAAAAAAGTCCTGTTGTTCTAAACTGTCTGGTATAGTGACAGAAAAATAATTTTCATTATATAGAGCCTGATAAAAACTGTTGAAGTTAATGAGAATTAATTTCAGAGGAAGGGATTGAGGTGGGGTTCCCCCAAAATGTAAAAAATGGGGACTGCTTCTTTGCTGATTCAAGGCCATTATGGGCAAAGCTTTAGTGGATCTGCAGCTGAAATTTTGATTGTTTGGATTCACTAATATTGCAGATAATGGTTTCAGACACATACCTCCCCACCAGAAGGGGAGTGTTTGGACTACAACTGTTCTTTATGCTTCTGGTTCACTGATCAAAAAATGAAGGCAGATCTTTGTCAGGTGTCTGTGAGTAAAGAGGGGTCACCCTTCTGTCTTTAATTTCCTTCATCCAGAGGTGTCTAATTTCTGGAAGGACCTATTTATTCTGCTAGTAGTGCTCTCCACACATCCCATGGTCTTTTGGGGCCACACCTAAATCTGCTGTCCTTATATATGTTAAATATATGAATATTACATATTTAAAAAAATCAGGGAAAAAATTAATATCTGGACCAGCCTCTTGTTTTATGCAATAGCTAGAGAAAATCTGTAGCTGCGACAACTTTACGTAGTAGGACCCTGTCATTAGTGAAAGGTCACGGACATAATATTCCCTTGTGAGTGCACATTTATCCTATTAAGGATCAGCCCTAAAAAATCCTCCTTAGACATAAATCCAGCTGAAATACTTCTTTGTTTGAGATCTTTCTTGATATGGTCCAATTTGAGATCTGATTTTAATTTTTTTGCCTGTCACTGCAGATGATTCTAAGAAAATACAAGTGACTCACTGATTTGGGAGTCCTGTGACATTGCTCAGAGAGGCTTTGACAGCACAAGGTGGCCCAAATCATTCCCTACAGCATGAGGGTCAGGATTGTAGGAAGGCACACACATCCTTGTTCCTTTTCTGTGGAGACACTTGACCAGTTCATATTTCAAAGGACATGCACAAAAAAGCCATGTAACTTTGTAATTTGTAACTCGGCTTTTAACCTTTGCTACTTACTTATAGACTTTTCCACCTTCTCTTTAAGTGACTGGATAAAACTTTTCTCTGTTTCGTCAGTGCTCCTCTTCCAGATGTTGTTGAGGAGGAGGGGATACCGCGTCAGTCGATGCAGAGGAGCAACCAGCAGCTCTGGCAGATGCAACCTTTTGCACTGCTCATTTTGTTCACACCACTGCTGAAGACAAAGAAAATGTGCCTTAGGCTTCAGCGTCCTCCTGGCTAGGAGGTAGCAAACAGTTTTCTGCATCATTAGCTGACTGTAACTAGACAGGGACTAATGAAGGATGAGTGTCTCACTCCCGGAGAACAAGGGCAGAATAAACTGTCTTGTCCTAGTTTAACCCAGCAAGTATCTAAACCACACAGCCACTCATTCACTCTTCACTCCTCCTGTGGGATGGGGAAGAGAAATGGGAAATAAAAAATAAAGTTTGTAGTTTGAGATAAAGGCAGTTTAATAGAATAGAAACAGAAGGGGAAAAAATTAACAGAATATACGAAACGAGTGGTGCACAATGCTCACCACCCACTGGTCCATGCCCAGGCAGTCCCAGAGCAGAGGCCCCTCCAGCCAGCTTTCCCTCTAGTTCATATACTGATGTGAGACTGTATGGTATGGAATACCCCTTGGGTCAGCTGGGGTCACCTGTCGTGGCTGTGTCCCCTCCCAGCTTGTGCCCATCAGACTCCTCGCTGGAGGTGGTGAGAGACAGAAAAGTCCTGGACTTTATGCAAACTGCCTAGCAACAAGTAAACATCAGTGTCTCACCTTAAATGCAAACCACAACACTATTCCAGCTACTAGGAACAAAATTAGCAGTATCCCAGCCAAGCCAAGGACAGCTCTCCACAGGGGGAATTGCATTGCCCCTCCAGATTCATGTTCTGCATTGCTGCTTACCATTCCAGATGCTGTGGCCATGCTGTCATAGCCAGTAGGGCTCTTATTTATCTGCTTCTTTCTCAGGAAGACCTGAGAAAATGCTGCTTACCATTCCAGATGCTGTGGCCATGCTGTCATAGCCAGTAGGGCTCTTATTTATCTGCTGTTTTAAATTTCTCAGGAAGACCTGAGAAAATTAACCTGAGTTATGTTTGAAAGCCACCTTATATTTTGGGGGCACTGCTTTCCACTGGGGAACATTTTTCCTAAGTGTGAGCGTATGAAATCTTCATCAGGGAGCAAGCAATGTGAAACTCCAAGGCCCAAGCTGCAGAGCTTGCCTGCCACAAAAAAATGTCCTTCCAGTTTTGGGCTGCCTGTGAGAAAAACCCACTACTTTATGTTGCTCTTTCTAAGCCTGTAACATTGAAGATTAATCTTAAGTGTTTACAGGACACACTGGTCTGTAGTGATGTCAGAAAGAGCAGAGCCTGAGACCCCACCACTGCACTGGCTGGTATCAATGACAAAACCTGCCGTAGTGCTGCAACTTGATAGAGTCCACTGATTGCTCTTTTCACCCTTAGAGGAAGGCAAGTTCTCCCTTACTGGTAGTGTTTTGATGCCAAAACATTTGAAATTGATTTATGTGGGGTTTTTTTGGGTTTTTTTGTTTGTTTTCCTGTACCCATTTAACTTCGTTAAGGGGAGGTCACTGAGTCTAGAGATTATGTGCAAAACAAAAGAAAGAGGTTTTTTTTGTATGTTTGTATGGTCTGCCTGCAAAAAGGCAGCCCAGGCTTTCCCCCCTTATCTGTTCTAAATTAGAAGTAGGGACTTTCACACATGCAGGTGAACATAGACTCAGGAGGGTGACTTCCCACTGGCTGGTATCAATGACAAAACCTGCCGTAGTGCTGCAACTTGATAGAGTCCACTGATTGCTCTTTTCACCCTTAGAGGGAGGTAAGTTCTCCCTTACTGGTAGTGTTTTGATGCCAAAACATTTGAAATTGATTTATGTGGGGTTTTTTTGTTTGGTTTTTTTGGGTTTTTGGGGTATTTTTGGGGGGGTTTTTTTGTTTGTTTTTTTGTTTCTTTTCCTGTACCCATTTCACTTCGTTAAGGGGAGGTCACTGAGTCTAGAGATTATGTGCAAAACAAAAGAAAGAGGTTTTTTTTGTATGTTTGTATGGTCTGCCTGCAAAAAGGCAGCCCAGGCTCCTTACTGGTAGTGTTTTGATGCCAAAACATTTGAAATTGATTTATGTGGGGTTTTTTTGTTTGGTTTTTTTGGGTTTTTGGGGTATTTTTGGGGGGGTTTTTTTGTTTGTTTTTTTGTTTCTTTTCCTGTACCCATTTCACTTCGTTAAGGGGAGGTCACTGAGTCTAGAGATTATGTGCAAAACAAAAGAAAGGGGCTAGCAGTTTGTATGTTCTGCCTGCAAAAAGGCAGCCCAGCTCTTCCCCCCTTATCTGTTCTAAATTAGAAGTAGGGACTTTCACACATGCAGGTGAACATAGACTCAGGAGGGTGACTTCCAATCAGTGATAGGCTCTGCAGTTCAAAAAATCCATGTGAAATGCTATCTACACAGTTTTGCTTCTAATGAGCATTCCTAGTTTGCTGTTAAAATCCTGTCATAAGGTAGGAAGGCTGAAGACAACAACAAGAAAAACAGCAATAACATAATCACTTTACCTTCAGGTAGATGCTAAAATCTTCTCTCTGTCTCAGTTTTTCAAGGTAGAATACAGCAGAAGTATAATTAAGACAGTAAATCTGGTGTGTCTGGCAGAGGTCACCCTGGAAAAACTGCAGAAAAAGTTTGGAAATTTATCAAGAAAGAAAAATGTCATGACAAAGGGAGAAACAGGTGTTTTGGGTTTGTAATGTGCATTTTATATGAGATTTCCTTGCATCTAGGAAAATGGGAAGAGGGAATTAAAAAAGTAAAGGGCAGTTTAAACAGCAATTAAACTGTAAAGTAGTAAAAATGCCACAACAATGCTTCATAATGCATGGGAGTAGAGTTTTAACAGATCTGCAGAGGTGTGACACATTGTTAGACTTTGTTCTCATCAGAAATAAATGACATGAAATTCATATGGAAGTTTAAGATCAAACCCACTATTTCTGAAACAGCTGTGATGACTTCATGTTGCATGGTATCTTATACCTGAGTATGCTCCTAGAAAAAAACAGGATAGCCTCATTTATGTTGGAGATGTTGAATGTCATGCATGATAAAATGCAGCATTGTCTGGGATTTTGTCTGTCTACACAAACATTATCAATAAGAACTGAAGTCAGAGAAACCAAGCTCTAGCCTGAATTTCTCTGTTAAAAATCTTAACACTGAGGTAGGGTCTTCTAGTATTTCCCAGAAGTTTTCTAATGGCCTCTACTGCTAGGGAAGGTTCCGTCAATCAATGGATTTTCTATCTTCATTAATATTTCCAACTTACAGGCATTGGGAAGTTGAGCAGGAATTAGAGCTCCTGTAGCCTGCTGTTCAGACAGCTGCCTTGTTTACCACACAGACTGACCAAAAGGGTCACAGGGAAGGCAGGGCTTGGCAGTGGCAGGAAGCTGTGGCTGCATCTCTCTCTTGCTGAACAGACACAGGCCAAAGTGTAATCACAGTGTCAATGAGCTCTTAATTAAGCAATTATAAACACTTGTGGGTCTGGTCCATGGAGTAAGGGGGGATCCATGTGAAGGAGTGGAAGCAGGCACTGATGGGACTGGGGTCTGGTTTCAGGGAAGCATCTTCCATAGGGTGGGAAGCTTGCCTCTGCCAGTGGAAAAGTCTCCCCACAGTCTGGGCTGCTGTTCCCCAGGAAGTGAAAATTGTTCCACACTTGATTCCAGATACAGAGCACCTTTCTATGAATGCTTCAAACATGCCAATGAATAAAAATAAAAACATCCTTCTGATAGGAGCAACCTGAGGCTGAGACCAAACTGCCTGTGACAGATGGCATGAACTTGGCTGATCTGATTGCTCTGGAGCACCTGTATGCCCTGATAAATGGTCTGATGCTTGTGTAAAAAGAACACTTCTAATTATGTTACCTTTCTGAGTACAGAGCTGAAATCCATAGGAGAGTCTGACTTGCTGATGTGCTTCTTCACAGTTTCAAAAAACATTTTCAGAAAACTGAGACTTATCTAAGTAAGGGGAAAAAAATAAAGATAAATTAACATCAGGGTGTGAGGGGATAGAATATAAGAAAATAAAGATAGTGCAGAAAGTAATCTCACCCCTAAGGAGTTGCAGCTGGGCCAATTACCAGAGATTAGGAACAGGCCTGACTTTAACAGGCCACAGCTGTGACCAAGGAGAAGAAGAGTGCTATAAAAGAGTGGCTTGGCAGCTTGAGGAGGAACTGGAGTCAGTTGGCTCTTTTGTGGAGAAGAACGAGTCAGTGCTCTGAAGAGCTGCCCATGAACCCATACTAAGAAGGTATGAAACTTTTATAATAAGGAGACAACAGTGTAGAGCTTTTGAGAACTATATGATAACATCAGTGATCTGAAGTTAAGATTAAAGCAGCTTTATTTCCCATCCCTGGTCTCTCTAAAGGCTCCGGGTGTAATGGGTGCCTGTACCTCTCTCCACCATTGCTAGAATTGTCTTCAGAATTATGCCCAGTATGCTTTTATTAGTCACAAACTGAGACAAATGTATACAAATACCCACTTATGTTGTGATAGTGCCTGATGACAAAAGCTTTGAAACAAGATTAGTTAGTCCATTAAACTTGTCTTAGGGTAGCAGCTGTATTTAACATGGATTGATGTAAAAAATGACAATGGGTGAATGGTATCTGCTGGAAAACAATTATGGTATTGACAGACCTGTGACAGTTAAGGAGGTCTTCATGGAAGAAGAACTATCTTTCATGGTTTGAGTTTGTTTCATACAATTGAAAGTGAAGGACGTATCTATAACATACTACAAAAACTCATATGTTCCCTGTAAGTTAACTTTATGTGTTTGTATTGGATTCAAAATGCCCACCTTATCAGCCAGATGGGGCTGCAAGCCTGCTCCTAAGCCCACACTTTCATCTTGAGCACACAATTTTCACACAAATTCATGACTAGGCTAAGTTGTTGGCCAAAAATTAGGCTAGAAGGGCACATCAATCTACTGCTTTGTTTGGTGTATTTACTATTTATGGGGACAAGGATGCTTATAGGATGATACTCATTCTTTAATTTTGGCCTTTACAATTTTAAAGCATACATTTTTTCATGGATTCAGTCTGCTGGCAAGAGGCTATGCATACTGTAAAATGTATGAAAAAAAGGCACCAAAGGCATTGAGAGCAGCTTCTTTTTCCCACATTTAATCAGTATTTAAAGTATGCATAACAGATGATCGTTTATTATCCTTATCAATAAGGACAACAAAATTAGAAATTAAAGCAAGCCTTTTTAAAAAGATAATTCTCTCAAGACATGATCAAGCTCCAGCCAAGCTCAAAGCTAAGTGAAACACAGCAATATATCCCACTGCCTTCTCTGAACAAGAACAAGGCAATCAACAACCACACATCTGCTGAACTTTAGCTGTTGCCTGTGTGTACAGTCTTATTCCACAATGAACCAAAGGTGAAACCTGTCAGCTAAGAATCTTTTCCCTTTTATCTCCAAACCTGCTGGTTGGTCATTCAGCAGCTCAGGTGTGAGGTCTGTGACTGAGCAGCACTACTATGCTCACGTGTTTGAGTTCTGGCTAATTGTCCCTGCTTTGAAGACCTTTCCCAGTTTTCTTGTTTTGGCTAAAAAGGGAGAAATTCAGTATTAAGGCAAGGGAAATAAATGGAGCCCAGCAGCTGATTTAGGGCAAGGGAGAAATTCAGTATTAAGGCAAGGGAATTACAGTAAGGGAAATAAATGGAGCCCAGCAGCTTGTGATGTGATTGTGAGTAGTGATTGTGATGTGATTGTGAGTAGTTTTTCAGTTAAGGCAGCTTCAGAGTTCTTTCCAAAATTCTCTTTCCAGTAAAGGGTGAGGTGTCCTGTAAAAGGGCCCTCAAGCTAAGAAAAATTGTTTTGTTTCCAAAGTAATGTAAAAGCTATTTTTGACTTGGGGGTTTTTAACTTTCAGGAGCTGAAAATGGTCTCCCAGCAACTGGCCAAAAGCAGCAAAGAGCTGGGGCACATCACAGCCAAGCCTTGTGGCCTCCCTCCTCCTGGAGAGTGCAGAGTGAGTAGCACATGAGCACAGAGCATCCAGGCTCTGTGGGAGAGATCCTTACACACGTGCCAAGGGAAACCTCAGCTGCAGAGAGGGGATCAGCATTTGGTTTTAACTTGCTCTTTTGGAGTGGATAATAGACAGCAAAATCTTTGTGCCCATCTGCTTGCAAAAGGGGACTTGTTATGTAGTTGTTTTGCCATGCTTTCTGGTCTGGTGTAAGGATTGGGTTGTAGTTTATCTTCATCCCCTTCAAAAGGTCACTGCTTATGAGAATTAGTTTCAAACTTGTGTTTACTTCAGGAACCACTGCCAAATGAGCTCTCCCCCATGTTTAAAATGCTTTGTATCTTTGGCTAGAGATACAAGAGGATGATTTGCGCTGGTGGTATTTGACTCTCACTGATATACCACATGGAAAAGAGGAAAAGGTGGATTATTTGAACAAAGTTCCAAATGTGAGCATTGAAACTAAATAGAAGCTTTTGGTTTTTTGTATTCTTTTACAGGACCTATTGATTTCTGATCTGAGTAACACTTCTGTTTTTCTACTCACCTTGTTTAACTCCTCTAAGTTTGCAAAAAGTCTCCACAAATCCACATCCAGGAGAAATTCATTACTCTGGAGGTATTTTAGAGTGTTCATAAATATCTTTAAAACCAAAACAAATCCATGTTAATTACTGTTTGTGCCAATTCAGTAAATTTTTATTCCTCCCCAAAAATAATATTTTTACTCAAATTATGAAAGGATTACTTGATTTAGGGAGGGCAGAAGATGGCATTGTGAGAAAAGTTTCCTGATCTGCCTGAAGGTGAAATATTGGGTTTTGTGCAGAAGAGGGTATGAGTGATGTCTCTGGGGTTTCTCTGTGGTTTCCATGGAGGCAGCTGTGTCCCTGCTGTGCCCTTGGGCAGAAGAGGGGCAAATGAGCCCCCTGCAGATCCCTGGTGAAGGACTCAGTGACATCAGAGTCACAGTTACAGATTTCCATGACCTTTCTAAATGCTTTCCTTCCTACCCCATGCAACTGCTGCTATCTAAATTGTTAAGAGTTACTACGAGGAAAAAACATATTCTTGGATTAAGGTAAGTAGCAGTCCTGTGGAGGTCTTTAATCTCTTTGGATTGTTTTATTAACTGTTGTATTCAGTGAAAACTGTGTGCATATTTATTGGCTGTTTAAGATTTTATATTTTTTAAGCTGATTGAGCTGTACTGAATCTGACCTAAATCTGAAAAAGTCTTAAAATTTATAGGTTACTGAGTAGATTTTTTTTTTTGTTTATGTGTATAAAGCATCATGAAAAAAACCTGTCACCCAGGTGCCAAGACTGAATAACTAGTGGGAGTGCTTGCTGAGCCTTGTGTAACTCTTTACTTACCATGACCTGGTTGTCCTGAGAGCTTAAAGGGTATTTATGGTGGTCTAAAAGCTTCTTGTGGAGATTCATTAAAATCAGTGGAATATTTCTATACTTGGGAGTAACCAGGTATCTTTAAAACTGGTTACCCAAATGCAATGCATTGTTTCTTTAGCAGGAGAGTTTGGGAAGCTGGCATGGACTGAATAGTTCATCATTCATGGGCCATGCAGGGCTGGCTGAGGCTTGTCTGTGGGTTCCTACATCAGGCTCACAAGGAGCCTGCATGTCTGCTGTTATCATCATTCTTCCCAGTAATCACCACTTTTTAAACTTTTCAGATTTCTAAGCAAAGTGTCTTCTCCTGCCTTGAACCAAAGCTGGTCCTGCTATCCTGTTTTCTGTCCCTTCCTGTTCTGCCCCACCAAGAGGGAATTCAGCCCACTCCTCCATTCATTTCCTCTGCTTTGCAGTACAAATAATACAAATAAAGATAACTTTTCAGCAACATGGAAAATGTTTTACAAATCTCTTTTCTTTGACTTGATTAATAAGAAATCAGAAAGTGTCTGTGCTGAGTAAGAGAAGCACGATAAGAAAATGTTTGTGGAAGCTTCCATCCTTTTGTATGGATACATTAACTTTTGATGTGTGGTGAATATAAATAGTGCAGCTATTCTTGTAACAGTCTGTAATGATTCTGTCCATATTTCAAGCTCTTAAAATGTATTGGAGGTAATACAGAGTTTTTGGGAGAGGAGTTGTTTTCAGTATACTTGTTTTCATGTAACATTACAACTGCAGAATTCTGAGGTTTTGATGCTGCAGTTAGGATAATCTAACCACAGCTCTATATGAAGTTAAATGACAAATATAATGCTGCACACTAGCAACATTAGCAATTGGAATGGTTCCAGTACAGAAATAACTCAGTGCAGTATTTGGAAGAGGACTAATGGAATATCAGTTGAATATCCTGGAAGGCTCTGCAGTCAGATGTTAATTGCAAAGCACTAGATTGCATCACTCAAAAGCAATGTTTAGAAGAGATATCATCATAAACACAGAAAAAGGAGCTATGGAAACAGGATGAGCAGGCAAGGTGGGAGGAAAACCAGGTGCTTAAGTCCTTCCCCTACAGACTTATAATGAGAGGTTTCAGGAGGCTCTGTGTCCATCACAGCAGAACAAATAACGTTTCATTATTTTTGTGAAGTGAAATCTGACATTACCATCTTGAGAACCAGCAAATGATCCAGAAAGTAAGTGCATTCACTTGTGAAAAGTTCCCACACTGCTGCTTCTTTTTTCACTTCTAGCTGGCTGTTGACATATTTCTGCTCAGTCTGTTGCTCATTTATAAATTCATGCCAAGATTTACTCTATTGATTGAAGAAGAAAGAAAAAAATGTTGCATCAGCTGCTTAAGATGTTATGAAAAGAATCTGTATCCTATTTACTTTGTAAATTTCATCTACCAGTATTAGCTATTTTTCTTCTGATAGCTTAAATTTACCTTTAAAATATTTTAAACTCCACCATTCTCCTCTAAAATACTTACAATATAAACACACTGAATTTGGAAGAAACACAATGTGATAGTCTATGTTTAGGTGTGTTGTATCAAAAATGAGTGGGCAGCTTGCAGATGCTAAGAAATTTGATCTGTTGTTCTGCTCCTGTAGTCTATGTTTAGGTGTGTTGTATCAAAAATGAGCTTGCAGATGCTAAGAAATTTTATCTGTTGTTCTGCTCCTAGGTGGATGATATCTTCTTATTTTCTGGGTGATAAAATGAAAATACCAAAGGACTAGGTCTTTTTAGTCACTTGGAAATTGTCTGGTTTAGTCCTAAAGTGGCCACTATAATATTATGGCCCTGCTCCAAAGTCAGGTGTCCATATATAAATTAGGCACTGGCAGAAGCCCTCAGCAGCTGTGTGTGGGGAGCTGCAGATAACAGCCTGCTGTGAGAAGCACAAGGTTTGCTTCAGAGAGGGGATGGTGTTAGGTGGCAAGGGCCAGAAGCCTTGTTTGTCTGGCAGACAGGCTTTGGTGCCTTTCTGGAGCCAAACCTTGGTGCTGGCACTGACCTGCATGTGGCTGCCTCTGAACACAGCAATGGGGGTGGCTGTGTCCCATTTGGCATCTCTCTGATGCTGTGGATTCTTTGCTCTGCTTTTCTAGCACCTGTAGGTGCTGCTGAGAGGGTTGCCTTGACACCTTTTTCTGCAGGTGTACCTCCTTGGTCTAGGGCATTCTGGATCCTTGGCAAAATCCAGATGATTTTGAGGGCCCTTGCTAAGGTACTCTGGCCCTCAGTTTCCCACTTGCCCCTCCATATGCCATTTTGACAAAAATATGCCATATACTTATACATTAATTTGTCAGAAAGGTCTCATATCCAGATTAATGAACTGAAAAATGTTAGCTTATAAAGAACACAGAATTCCTCCTTCTATCCTTAAGTATCCTTGATACAGTATACTGAGAATTTTGGTACCTTGAAGCAGAAAAATTCATCTGTGCAGTGGTCTGTGATCTTAACAGCAGAAAGACAACTTTCCAGATCAGATGCTTGCTTCTGTTTGTCTTTACCCTGTTAAATGACAAGAACCTGATTCATACAGTGTTTTAAAGACTGTTAAGAAATTGACCCCTCTTGCCCTAATCCTTAAGGATAAAGGATAAATAAATATAGAGTGATTTCTCTGTATTTCCAAGCTCTCCTACACAGAGACAAGGAAGTGATGGCAGGTTTCTTTGTAGCTGTGGATGGAGTGTGTAAATGCCTCAGGTTTAGATGTGTAAGACATTGGTAACAGGCAATGGGCTACCCTTGGAAGAGAGAACAAATGAAATGTTTTGCTTCCCTTGGCACTGTCAGAGATAGGGGACAACAGATTCATGGTTGCAATCCTGTCATAGGTATACAAATTTATGGGTTTATTTATTTTTATTTTTTGAGCTATGTATTGAAATAGGTTCCTTGGTCATCTGCAGAGTCGTGTCTGTAAAATGAACTTTCAGAAAGTTAAAAGAACAGCAGGAGTTTGTGTGAGGGACCATGAAATAAAAATAATTGCTTTTGTTTCAGCTTTGTTTATTCAGGCCTTGTAAAAATTTAAGCATTGTTTATCAACTTTAATTTAGTGCTGTGGGCACAGACTTATAAGGTGTTTGCCTCAGTTTTGTCTGTTCTCTGGAACTGTATATTCCCACTTCATGGATTTCTATTGTTTGAATTTTAGGCACTGAACTCAGCAAATTTTGAAATATGTGTTTGATTATAATATTTGAAACTTAGTGTTTAAGTTCAGCTCCTAATTTTGAAGGATACATTGAAATGGGGAAGAAAAAATAATGCCATTAATATATATGCACACTGAACCAGTGTAGGAGCAAATAAATCTTCATTAATTAAATTTTATGGCATTTAATAGTATTAGAAATCACTTTTATCTAAATATCAAGTACTTTTTATGGCAGATTTAAATTATTTTTCTGAATTTAAAAATCCTCAGGTTTAGGTCATGTTCCTTCAAATGCTATGAAACTACTATCAAATGAAAAGAGTTCTTATACATATAAACCTGAGTACCTGCATTAGTTCTGCATGTACAGAACCAATTGGTTCTGCATTCTTTCATAAAATGCAAAAATAGTTGCATTAGGAAGGGACTGTTCTTAATTACATGCTTAGGGAGAAAAAGACACTTGTAAATAATTTTTTGAATGCTGAACAGTACACAGAAAGGAAATTCAGATACCTTAGTAAGTGAAAGCTTTCATAAATGGAAAAGACAAGGAATTGTGTTAGACAAGGAAAAATTCACTGAGATGTGCTTTCACTGGTGAGTGAGAGGACACCCATGAGGAGAGGAAAGGCCTAAGAAAGTGTCATGGAATGCTGCTTTTATAGGTAAAACTTAGATTCCTTGCATGTGAGTGGCAGTTCATTGCATGCTCCAAAGCCGTAGGGAACACAGGAAATACAGGATACACATGGTCAAAGCAACAGTGCAACTGATTTGTCACCGTGTGCTACCTTACCCTAGCTAGAGGCACTGGCCTGCTGCCACCCCTGAGTGAGAGCCCTGCTGTCACTGCCACTGCCCTCCTGGTGCCAGGGACACCTCTCCTCCCAGCACCCGCAGGGATGGGGAGCAGTGGCCCTGTGTTCTCATGTGCATCCCATGCAGTGCCTGCACTGGAGCCACCCAGTCCTCATTGCAGGTTAATGTGCAGGCAGTCCCAGGGAGGGCTGAGGCACCTCTGAGTTCAGCTCACCTGCTGGCTGCCCTTCTCCAAGGGCAAGAAAGTAAAGAAGATATTTTTACCCAGGTTAGTTGTGGGAAAAGGCAAGGTAAGTGCAAGGAGAAATAAAATGGTAAAAATACTCACAACTCCTCTTTTGGCAAATGGCCACCTTGACTTTTTGGACTCTAATGGGTAAAACAAGTGTTATCAGTAAGGAAACAGATAAAAAAGAAAACTATTAGTTGTATATGCAGCTTGATAGACTATGCTCTACTTAGCTCATATTTAATACTTGAGTTTAGGCAGTTTGTGCACCAGACTTAAAACCCATGAAGCTTGTTGGGTTCTTCCCAGTGACAATTATGACTACCTGTGGTGGGATGGTGCTGAACACTCCTACTTGTTGCAGGTGATCACAATGTGATTGCCAATTCTTTACCTGGGAAAACCATCATACCTCAGGCCAATTTCTGAAGATGTTGTTTTAAAGCAAGAATTAGTCTATGCCTTCTCATCATGATAAATCAGAATTATGCAGGTATTTAAATCTCCAGTGAAAAACAATCCTACTAGCCCTGACAGATCTGTCATGGGGCTGGCACAGTGAGGCAGAGTGTAATTTGTGGTCCTTGGTAAGGCACAGGGAAAGCTGGGGATCTAGATTTAGGAATGCACTGCTGACTTGTGAGGAACTACTGTATTCAGCAACAAATCTGAAAAGGTTTTCTTTTTGTGGCACCCATCTTCAGGAGTGTGTGACAGGGAATCACAGTCAAAACTTTGTGTTTCTGTATTTTGAAGGTCTTAGCCATTCTGGGAATGGCTGGCCTATTTGCTGTCATGAAAATCCTGGTTGTGACCTTGGCTTACTTGTCTTTTGAGAAACTTTTGATCTCTGGCCACCAGGATCTCCTTCAATCACACCATACTATATTCTACAATAGTCATTTGTGGAAGTGGCTTTTGCAGGTCTGCATTTCAGCTTTGGAATGTCTTGTGAACAACTTCTAGCCATGAGTTGGGTTTGCTGCCCTTGTGATCAGAGCACCACTGCAAGGGGCAGCATGGGCTGCTTTTCTCTCTGCTTGAAGCTGTGGAGGTAAGAAATTGTACCTCAGCTGCTTCTAGATGGAGATCCTGGCCTGGGCTCTGGCTGTTTCTAGCCTGTGGAGGAACAATGTGATCTGTGTCCTACCTTCTCATCTACTTGCATTTTGCATTCAACAGTAAAATGCAGGGGAAAAAAAATTGCATACATCCTCCCTCCCATCCCACATGTTCCAGTCCCGCTTTTGCTGGGCTCAGAGGAACAAACCCCACCCCATGTCTGACCTGCACTGAGCAGGGAGGATGAGCAGGGCAGGTAGTCCATGGCACTGTCTGACACCAGCAGGTCTCCAGGGAACACCTCGAGTCCTGGCAGAGTCACCACCAGGGAGCTGCGCCTGCGCTCGGCTGATCTGTGAGACCCAACAACAACAACATGCGTCATCTCTGTCCTCCGGGGGCCTTCTGAAGGGCTCCTTGCTGATCCAGGAGGGAATCAGCTAAAAAACTAAATCACAGGAGCCGTGACATAATGTGTTAAAGGAACAATGAGCAGAGAATTTCAGTGACTGACAGCAAACACCTAGCTGTCTTTCAAACTCCACGTGTTTGCTGAGATCAAGGTTCTTATGGTCATGGCTTGCCTCAGATAATAAGTAATTAGGGCATTTAAATATTGAAAATTCCTGGTTTCTTCTGAGGTTAGGCAAACAGTTAGTGGGGATTTTAGAATCTGTATTTTGGCAGTGGAGTTTAATGGAGCAATTAAATACTGTTTTTAGCTGACATGTGTCTGACATGTGTCTTGTTACTTTTAGCCTTCCTGTAACCCAGGTGATTTCATGAAAAGACAGCATGCTAGTAAAACAGTTAAAGTGTTGGGTTTAAAAATTTTTTTAACCATTTGTCTAGTTTGTACTATTTTCTTTCTAAGTATTTTTGGCATTTTTTTCTGCTATTTAAAATATGTTGAATGTAATATGACTCAGTGGCCCTACTGATTGAAAAAAGTCTTTCCAGCTATTGTTGTTCCTAATGGAGAACACTGTCCATGATCTAGATCCACAAAGAAGAGTGACAGAGGCATTCTGTATCCAGCATCTTTGTGCCACAGCCTGCTTGCATTCCCATACAGAAACTGTTGGTCCATGTTAAGAACCTTGTTGTACTTTGGTAATAAATCACACTGATACATCATGAATTATGTTAGTATATGCTGCAGAGGGACTGCTGTGTGCAGCTGCTGTTGTGCTGCCTTCAGTACATGAATACTGCATTAGGGCTCAAAGGGTCAGTAATTCAGTAGCTGAGGGAGGAGGCACAAAGTACATGCACATTTATAAAAATTCTATTTTTCAGTCACCACTTATTGTGCATAGTATTTTTGGTCAGTTAAGCATGATTCTTACTGAGATCTTTTGTCTAGGCAGTTAACTTACTGTGAATACCTAGCCTTTTGCCACACTTGGTGTGAAACCTGGCAGGTATATTTTTTCCTTTAAGTGCATGAATAGTTACTTGACAGCTTATCAGCTGACACATGACCTCTGAGGTGGAGAGCTGGGATTTGATATGTATGGTAAGACACAGAGATTGCAAGCGGTGTCACTGTCAGGTCATAAAAAAGGCACAATTGCCTTAGCTAAACAATTGAATGGTCTAGATGAAAGCTGCTCCTAACAAGAGAGATGTCTATAGGGTATCAGGAGGGCCAGGCCTGGGACTTTAACACTGGAGCCATGGACATATCGGGGCTTAAAAACCACATCTTGAGGAGGTTACAGTGTGCAATGCGGAGTTCTTTGAAAGTTTTCTGCTAGTCCTACTGAATGGAGAATATAGGATTTACTTATTTGGCTTTAGGGTTTACAATGAAAATCTGTGGTTTCTCGTGAAATTGAACCCTAAGTATGTGGTTTGAGAGCTTTAATGGGTGGGGGGGTCTCTTCCTTGGCTGTTTGCAAGCCCATACCACTGCAAGGGAGAGAATGCTCCTCTCAGGAGTGCCTTCCTGAGACGTGCACTGTGTGCTACACAATGCAAATTTTCAGTGTTGGTAATGAGTGTATTAAGATGCCACTGAACCCTCTAGTGATTCCATGGTGCAATCTTTGGGCAGCTGGGCTATTACACAAGTCAGGTGCTGCAATATAGTACAAGGATGATCATTACTACACTAGGAAATTCAGGACATTTATTTCAGGTTGTCTTCACAGTAAAATTTTGCCAATATATTATTGATTTTTAAAGCATCTAGCCTACTGCTACTTTCACAATATATTTGAAGCTGCAGGCTAGTGGCTCATGAAGACTAATAATGGAAGCACAGAGTCACTATAACTGAGTTAAATGACATTATTTACCCAGATCAAAAAGGCCTTGAACTTCAGGCACACATATGGCTAAACCAGCTCTTCACATAGGTGCTCAAGGCTGTGAAATGTGGGGGCACGGCAGGACCCCTTGGGTGTCTGTCTACAATATACCTTTGCAATCTGATGAGCCTGGGCTTAACGGTTTACATGTCTAAATTATAAACTCATGCTTCAGAGATGGAAGCACAGATATCTGTGGTTTCCTGGCCTGCTGCCTGTAGACATGTTAGATACACCAGATGCTTCTGGTTTTTTTTTGTTTGTTTGTTTTTGGGTTTTTTTTTTTCCTGGACAAATTGAATTGCTGAAGTTCTCCGTAGTAAAATTTACTGGGTTTTAAGTCTGCAATATCTTAGCATCTGCTCATGCCTTCAGACTCTGTAGCTTTGCCTATTTCTTTATTTTTTGTTTGTTTCACTTACTGGGGGGAGAGGACTGCAGTGGTGGAATAAAATGCTTGTACTTTAGGGACAAACTCAGGCATCTGAGTACATATAATCTGTAATAATTCATTCTTAAAATCCACTTGTTTTTTGAAACATGATGATGTCATAGATTTACATGGAAAATTGTGGAAAATTATTAAAGACATTGAAGCAGGTCATGGTCTGGCAAAATAAATATCTTGTGTATATATTTATTTCTAAGGCACAGAAAGTGTCTTCATATGTCCCTAATCTTAGCCTAACTAGCTATTCCAGGGAACAGACATCTGTATAGATCACCTTACTTCAACAGCAGATATATTACTTAAAGGACTGTCCACTAGATGTGAATAAAAGCAACAGAGGATGTTACTGAGGTAAATATTGTAGGGTTCTCACAGGACTGAGATCACTGCCAGGCAGGGACACTGCTTCCCAAGCTGCTCAGGGAGGGAGTTTGGACTCCCTGATTCAAAAAGTTAGCGTGGAAAATTATCTATTTTCAAAAGTAAAATGATTTCTGTGATTGCATAAGGAGTTAGGTTCAGTGTAATTGATATTCCTCCTCCTGTGCAATGTGCTCCAGCACGACCCTGCTTGAGCAGAGAGGTTGTAACAGAGAAGCCACTCTGGTCCTTCCCAGCCTCACCCACTCTGTGATTCTGTGATGTTGTGACACTTCACAGCTGTGTGAGTCATTAAAAGAGGAATGGGAGTACTTCAAGATAGGTGAGCCCAGCTCCTTCAAGGCATTGAATAGAAGCTGTCTTGGCAGTTTCTGTGAAGGCTCTTCATTAGCTGATTTGCTGTAGGAAATTGTGCAATGCAATTTTCCACCCAGTCTCTGATACTGCTGAATAGTGCAAGGAGAAAAGGAGATCAGAGTAAACCTGAGGTTTTGTTTTGTCAATGTTTTCTTCCATGGCAGTGTTGATTTGGCATCTCACCTTCTCTCCACCATATATACCTCTATCTGTGCTGCCCCTCTTTCCCTTTTTGTTTATTTCTTTTGGATGATTCTTTGTAAACAGCATCAGTTCAGCCAGTTGCCATGCTGACAGGAATGTGCTGGCATTCTTGACTGAGGACTGTGTGGGAGAAGGCTGCTCAAAATGAGTATGAGTGCATTAAAGATGTTTTTTGGAAGTACAGCTTGGCAGCATGGAAATGTTCATTAAAACTGAAGGACAGAGGTATGATTTTACCCAGGGTAATATGTAAGTCACTCTTGGAGAAGAGTTGCCAACTGTCCTAATGTGCTTCTAGATGGAGAGAATAATCTGACATGTGAACAGTTTTTGCTGGCTGTGATAAGAAGGGATTAGCTGTTAAGAAGTTAGACTAATGATCTTAATGAAGGAGGAGCTGAATACAGCCTTAACCTAAACCTTAGGCCAGATTAGATTTGACAAAAAATGCTTAAAGCAGCAACTGGTGCATTTTAAAATATATTTTTGCACATTCTAATATTTATCTAGATAGAATTCTTAATACATCATCCCAACCACCTTTTGACAATTTTTCCAGCTGGTGCTTATGGAAAAAATGTTTGGGTTGTGGTTTCTTGATTTAAAAGGTGTCTGGATAGAAGTCCAAAGCAATACCCTAGCTGGCACATAGTTACTCCCCTCCTGAAGCCACTATAGGCAAGCAGCACCAAGAGAAGCTGTGTACACTGAATGTTCTGTGTTCTCCTGTTAAACCATCTGCCTTCAATATCTTCAATTTCTCCCCTGAAATTTGTTGCACATCATGCAAATCTTCACGCTGACAGTGAGATATGTTTATGTATTCCAGTTTTGTGTTGGATCAGACTAGACTCTTCCCAAAAAAGGTACAGATCACTTTTTTTCACATCCAGATGAAAAGATCTTTCCCTCCTCTTCTCTCTCCATCTCCATTGTAAATTCAAATGCTAGAGGGTGGGTTGGAAATGGCAACAGTTCAGAATATCCAGGAGGCCTCTTCTTCAGTGAACATGTAATTTCAACTGCATGCACACTTCTCTTGAAACTCCTCTAGGGAGTACATTGTGTAAGGACTCCTAGACTGCTCCAAACCACCCAGTCCCAAACATCCTTGAGGGGACCTTGCAGTAAACAGAGCACTACTCCATCAATGAGAGAGGGGTCATTATTAATGGAGGTACTATCTCCTGCTTCATTGTTGTGTGGGGAGAAAATAAACCTTTCCTTTCCTTCTGTAAACATTTGAACATCTTAAAGAAACATATCTTAATCAAAATTATTTCTAACAGCATTTTTACTTTCTGATAATTGTTTTGAAACCTTGACACAATTCACTGCACAGGTATATGGTATGCAACACTCTATCCTGTCTGCCCTAAATTATAAAATTTGCATATTCAATGTACTCTTCGTAGTTTGTAGGATTAATAATCCCCCTCTCCAGCAGCAGTCCTAGAGATTCTTTGCTTATGTATAAGAAAAATATTGAGCTGTTCTGCTAGCTCTTTTGCTCCCTTTTCCCCTCCACAAACTTTTGAAGAATGTCCCTCAAGATTATGAGATATTTCACATTCTTCAAGCTGAAGTTTGGCCCTGCTAAGCCATACAAGCAAACCTTTTGGCAGTGAGCTCCTAGCACAAAGCTCCCCAATGATCCGGATGAAATATTGCGTGAAATGTAGCTGAACGTGCTAGGGAGAGGGCCACCTTTGACAGAAAATCTCATTAGACAGTTTAGTGAGCTGCTGACAAGCATTTCACATAGCAAATCTGCAAACTGAGGTTGAGTTATGTATATATGACTCAATGTTCAGTTTTGTCTTAGGGTGAAGCAAACTCATTAAAAATGTAGGAGAGTCAAACCTAGAATGAAATAAAATAAATGTGTGCATACCTTTGCATGGGCAATCCACTCTCCTGAAAGAAAGTGAATATTCTTAGTTAGTTGGTCTGAAAGCAAGCAAGCAATCCGAATTTTTTTGAAAAAAGAGCTTATTCGTAAAGGGAAATATACTAATAATAGTGTAATAGTCTTGGGCATAGGCTAATTAATTTCACTGTTGTGGAGCAAGGAGAACTCCTTTGATATCCAGAATGTTTTCTATCTTTGAAGGGGGTGGGGGGTGGAGGAAAATAGCTTTTGGTTTGTACTGTAAAGCTAACTGGCTAGTGAAGAACTCTGCATCTACCCTCAGCAAAATGTGTGTGTAGGTGGTTTGCATAAGGACAGAGCTGAGCATGTGTGTGACTTTAATGCCTCTGCACACAGTGGAAGGTCTTTGAGAGCAGATCTAGCAGCACACCTGGCTTGTACAAAAAGCCTCTCCTTTTGTCCTTGTGGAGAGCTGAATTGTAGTTTCCTGCCCTTGAAAGATGCAGGGTTGGCTCCTCCCTTGCTTATTTCTCTTTACTGATTCTGACACTCACTGGACCAAGGGTTCTTTTTCAGAAGAGATTGCACAATTGCTTCTTTGTTTATGGAGCTGGACATATAAAAGGAAGGGTGCCAGTGAGTGGTGGAGCTAGGTAAGTTGAAATAAATACAGGGAATTTTACCTCTTCCTTTGGTAGCAGCAGACCTTAAATTTGACTCAACCAACTTAATTCTTGGTTTTATTTGGGTTAGTAATGCCATTCAGTAAAACAGAATAGAGAACTTCCCTGTTTTAGGAATAATCCTGCTGAATGGTTAAACAGTGGGTTGAAAGAAAATAATCTTCTAAAACCCATCTTCAACAGGATCAATTACTTAATATTATTCTTCCATATCCCCACCAACAGTTGTACTGGCCCACCAGGGTGGATGGACAGAGATGGGAAAGAGTGGCCTGTACAGGAGGGGACTAAGCTAACTTGGTCACCAAGAGGCAAGGCTGGAACTGCTGTCTCTTGCTGATCTGGAAAGAAAAATCTCCCTTCCTGTTAAGTGTAGAAGCCAGTCTGCTGTGTTAAAGGATCATGGCCCAACTTGCAGTTCAGGTTAAGAACTGGGGTTTTATTTTTGCACTGGCCCCTGATGGACCAACACTGAATATGAAAAACTGAAAAAGAGGTTGCATCCTCCTATTCCTCTTACCTGGACACCTGCCCAAAGTGTAGGGATTGGGCGGGGGAGTCTCATAGGAAGTGTAGCAGAGTTGGCTCTCCAGGAGCTTCTGGGTGGCTCATTGGGACTCTCATTGCTGAGAGGATCCTCTTTGCTTGGAAGCTTTGATCTGGGTAGGTCAGATTCTGGAACTGCTGTAGTTCTCTCAGACTTGGCTTTGGACGACAATAATTTTGCATGGACACAAGGAGGCAGCGACAATGAAGACGTTGTAATGCAACGAGGTGGACTCTTACAAATGTGGTGGAGAGAGCCAGTGTATTCCTTTTGATTCCCTGGGTGAGCTGTGTCAGAACAGTCCTGAAATGACAGTGCTTGTGAGGCAGAGGCCATCCTTAGACGCCTTAAAGTTGGAGAAGTGGAAATTCTGGCCCGGGCATGGCGGTCGAACTGGAAAGGCGCATGGTGGATCCCAATGCACTCCTCTGCAGGAAGCCTCCGAAATGAAGACTCTGTGAAACCTTTCTGGAGAATGTAGTCCCTGGGAGGCAAGGTGGTGTCCATACAAACTGGTACTGTCTGCATTTCAGAGGAACTGAAGACATCTTCTCGGCTGCTGCTTTCAGACAAAGCAGCATTTTCCTTATGGAGTTCAGCTTCCCTGTCTAGAGGTTCCACACTGGTGCATGTTTCTTTGACCAGGTCTGGAGAATAATCACAGCTTGGTTGTTGCATTCTTAATTTGCAGCATGAAGATTTATATCTATGTGTACCTAGGAAACATGATCAGAAACAGTCCTTACAAACTTGCCATATGAATTTTTAAGTGGGAAAATATGCAAATGGAAAAAATATCCAAACAAAACAAGGCAAATATGTGTGCTAGCACAGAAACTATTACCCTTGCATTGAATCTTGCTCAAATGCAGGTTTTGAGATGTTCAGGACCCAATTTTGGCAAGTTGTTTAAACAGCTGCTAACTTTGAATGTGCCAGCAGTGTCAGCATCAGTCAGTAGAACTAATTAGATGGTAAAGAGTAACTGAGTTTAGCAACTCTGCTCAGCTGCACTGCAGCCACCTGATTTCTAGCTGCCACTCCCCCACTGCTGAATGAGATCCTAGCACTGCTGTAGGTGGGATAAAAACAAAGTCACTTGCTCTCAGACTTGCTGCAAATTTCTTTGTACAAATACTAATTTCTTGCTGAATCCTTAAGCAAATACAAATTTAACACTTAGGTAAGGTGTGTTTCATCACTCTTGCTTTCTTTTCAGCCTAAAAGTACTTTGTAGTAAACATTATGTATAAGTTGTAATCAAATAATGAAGAAAATTATGTGCATTAGTAACTTATCTGTTGATTCATCAGTAAATAGTCTTATGCTCTTTGATTCATGAAGCTTTAACATATTTTGATGCTTAGTCTCTCTAAAACTGGACTGACATTTCAAGTAATTATGAAGATTATTAATTCAGCCTCTTTAACTTAGCTTCTTTGCTAAGTGCAATCTTAAATATGTTCATGATTGCTGGTTTATTTGGGGAACTGTCATTTATTAGAATTAGTTTATTTAAACCTATATGACTTCTTTTGTGAATTATTGACTATCACATGCTGAATATAATTTTAAAAATCGAATTATATAGTTCCATCAGATTGATTTACAAAGTGATTAGAAAGAAGTTAATTTATCGAGTTTGTCAGTTCATAGTATTGCTTTATCCAAAACCTTCAGAAGGTGATCATTCAGATTCTTACAGAGAGAAAAACATATCTCCATGATAGAAATGGCTTATTTCACAACTGTAGAGAATAGCCACAAATGTATTAGCATCTATTAATTTCTCTCTAATGGATAAGAACTAATTATCCTTTTTAAACATTTCATTTAATATACTGCAGAATGATAAAGAGAAATTACTACTATTTTCCCCTTTTGAATGAAGATATTGCATACCATTGCTCTGAGATTTGCTGTTATTGCTTTTTAATATTTCAAGACTTTTATTTTGTGATGTTTAATCACATCTCACTGATTGTTGTTTGGCCAGTCATTCTCACAGTTTTTGTAAAAATTATTTTTATTATTTTTTCTTGGTAATCCTCTCTTCTCCTGGCAGAATTTTGCAACTTGGCATGCAGTTTCCAGATATTAATGTGAATAGTGATCTGTTCCACAAGTAGAAAAGTTTAAAGACATCTTTTTGTGGAAGTCTTGTATTAAAAATAGGACCATTTTTTGCTTTTCAGTTTAGCAACCTTTTTTTTTCCAATAATCAAAAATTTACATATTTCTTTTTGAATATTTCTGTGTTGCTTTCATGAACAGAATTTCTCAGCAGCAAAGTATTTGTAAAGAAAATACACTATTAAAAAAAGTGCAGAAATACACCACACACATGCAGAAAAATTATATGATCAAACTTACCAAGACAGCCAATTGAATATGTCTCATCCTTTTAAATCAAATTTTCAACAAGTCCTTGATTAATTGACAGCTAGTCTTAACAGTAACATTTTCTCTCTTAAAGCCTCCTTGCTGAACGCTGGTATAGGATCCAGCTTTTTCTTGTAGATTTGTTTCCAGGGGATTTGTTTATCAGGTCAGACGGAAGTGCCTTCAGGATCAATGCCCCTAAACAAAGGTAACATGACCCATTGGATTAAATTTCCTGCCTTTTATATTTCTGGACTGTTCACATTGAGAAAATTTGGGAAGACAGATCTCATGCAAGCATATAAAAATTTGCAAGAGCAGATAAAATGCTTCCACTCCTCCAGCAGTCTTTTTTTTTCCCCCCTCGTCTTGATTCAGTCAGCTGGATCTAACTATGCATTGTTTATCTTTCATGGAAGTATAATAGTTGTCTATCCCTTGTTTGTGTTATGATTAGTTTTTAATTTCAATGAGTGTGGTAACAGGTTAAGTAATTTTGAACACAGATTTTAGTACCAGAATATTTGAGAATTCATGGAAACATTGATAATTCATTGTTTTCTTGTATTGTAAAACTGATTGGAAAATACCAGAATTGATTAAGGCATTTTTTGGTTATATGAATTGAAAGTGAAACCTGGGAAAATATGGTTTATTTGGTAGATAACTTGTGAGGAAGCAGAAAGGTTTACAAATGTTCAACTATATGCAATTAAGGCACATTTTTAGAGGGCTCAGTGAGCTTGAAAATGTTTGCTTGAAAATGCAGACAACCTTTGCAGTACAATGTTTTCATCTTCTGTAAAGTTGTTTTTTTTTGTCGAAACTCATCCACAACCCAATTCAAGATACCCCTAAGCTGGTGTAAGTGCCTTTGATTTTGCATAGCACTGGATGTGACAGGGGATTGAGGGAGGATTATTCTGAGAAACACTCAAAGACTTTATTTACAAAACCATGGCGATGTTACATCATTTTTATTAGTATTTATCCAGTTTGGTTTCTAGGAAAAAGAGATGTGCTCACCCCGTGTGATAGTTGATAGTACAAATGTATTTTCTTTAAGAAGCAGTTTTAGGAATGTAAGAATTTTTCTCTTTTTTTTGGTGGTGGTGGGCAGGGGGGATTTGTGTGTGTGTGTTTGTGTATCTTTTTTATTATTGTTCATTGGTTTTTGTTTCCTTTTCGTTCCTTATGCTGTTGTCAAGGTGATATTAGTTTCAGGAGCAGATAAAATGCAACAGACCTTGTTGCCTGCTGAAATATGCAAATGTCTGCAGATTTTACAGTGTTCTAAGCTGTCCTTTGCTACCCCTCAGGACAGACCTGGGCACACTGAGCTGGTGAGGATCTCCAAGAAGATGTACACGCTCAGAGGAAAGGGGTCAGACAGTCAGCAAGCAAAGCCATAACCTCCCCCAAAGAGGGAAAAATCTAGCTCTTAGATTGGGAGAGTAATCAAATGAAAATATGATCTATGGAAGAAAAATGAATTGGAGCCAAAAATACTCCCTAATAATTACTATTAATAGAAAATCGTTCTAAAACGCTATGAAGTTTTCCATAGAAAGACAATTGCCTTTGAAAGTATTTAGGAACATTTGCTCAGTTAATGATACTGGATGGAGTAAAGCCCACAAATTTACAGTAGAAAAGGTATCTCATTTTCAACAAAAACAAAAGCTAAAAATTGAAGATTGGGACTGATATAAAAATAGCCCTTCCTGGACTGCAGGGCACCATATTGTTTTGAAAATTGGTTTTAGTTGATAAAAGTATGAGCATTTGGAAGCATGTAATTAAGGAGAAAAAAAAGCTTCTATTTGGAAAGAAATAGTCTGTCCTTGCATAGTATAAACCAAGCTCCCTGAACCCAAAACCAATTGAAAACTAGATAGCATATAATTAAAAAAAGTGCTAGTCCAGGGAGTAATGATAGATGCTGTTCACAATTCACTTATATATTACTTTAAAGGCAGCTTTGTTACAGGGGAATAGAACAAAGTGATAGAAGTGGACTAATGTAGAGTCAAACACCAACAACATTTCATGATGTCTGTGTAATTATTGTCTAAGTAGCAGAGCTTCAAAGCAGAAGGGATTAGGCTTTTGAAAGGTTATCCTCAACAGAAAATCACAAACAAACAATAAATCCAAGGGAAATCAAACACAAAGGCTGACATTAACTGCTAAACTCCAGGAAATGCCACAGTTCAGCCTGGCTGTGTCATTGTGCTGCTGCTTTTTCCTGTGCATTATCTCACAGGCTGATTACACAGATGGCTGAAGTCCCTCAAGCAGAATCTATCAGATGTAATGGCCTCACACAGATATAAACCTATGTATGTGCTCACTATTTCTCACCAACGTGTCTGTAGCCAGTGACAAATTTGTGGTTATCAGGTGGATATAAGAATGCATTCAAATGATGACTAAGAGACTCTGTTAAAATAAAAGTCATGTCCCCATCATCTCAAGAGCCACAAAGAAGTCTGTAATGGGGGTCTCATATGAGGAACAGAGACTGAATGCTCATGTGGAGGAATATAAAATGATGTCTGGACACTGCAATTTTGCTTTTCCTAGAAATATGAAACCCAAGTTAAATATTATATAGAACCGTGAAGTCCTGCCTCAAATGGAGACCAGTAGTTGAGATTTCAGAGCTGGCCTCCAGCTGGCACCACTTGAGATTTCCAGGTAATGTTCACCTGTGACAAGTCTCTCAAGTCTTGCATCCATTGTTGGCACCTCTTGCTATGTTACATTCATTTTTGGCAGGCTGCACAAGGTCCCCTAAACTGAATCTCTCATTTTTCTTATTTCTTGATAAGCCCTCCCATAACCTGAGCTACAAGACTCGGGTAACTATAGCAGAAACATTTTGAGTGTACATGTGCCTATGTATGGAAGAGAAAAAAAAGAGAAGAGAAAATTTCAGAAAAGGACAGCTCTCTGGGTGACCAAAGGATCATCTCAGGGATATGCAAAGGGAAAATGAAAATTAAGTCAGACAACTTCCAGAGACAGAAGGGATAACTGTCTTCTTCCTATGGATTTACAGGTGAAGGGACAGGTATGCCTCATTTCTAAAATGAGTTTTGGATCCAGACACAAAGGTCTGCTTTACTTGCAGCCTTACACTCTTTCC